CATAATTCACTTGCCTAAACCCTTGAATCATTCTTTAGGATCTTTTCCAATATCAACACCTAATGGAGTTGGGACAAAATCCAGCCATACATAAGTGTGTTGCCCCAGAAGCTCCACCAAAGCCAGGTTTACCAAAAATCTGCCTCCTGATCTGTTTTATTAGGTGTCTGTTCTTAAAAGTTTAAGCTTGTAGCCTGGTGTGGTGGTGCAGGCTTTTAATCCCAGCACTTGGGAGGCAGAGGCAGGTGGATCTTGTGAGTTCAAGGCCAGCTTGGTCTACATAGTGAGTTCCAGGACAGCTGAGGCTACAGGGAGACCCTGTCTCAAAAAGACAAAAAAAAAAAGGTTTAAGCTTCTGTTAGAAAATACCCACATTTCTGGGCATGGTAGCCCACACCTTTAATGGGGGGTGGGCAGGTGGATCGCTGAGTTTGAGGCAGCCTGGTCTACATGGTGAGTTCTAGGCCAGCTGAGGCTACAGGGAGACCCTGTCTCAAAAAATGTAATGAAATGAAATGAAGGAGGAAGAGGAGAAGAAGAAAATACCCACCCAGATAACTGAAGAAACCTGAAAACCCTGTTTTCGGGGAAACTGGCCCACTATGTGTTTGTGCCCAGACTCAGGAGCTGATCAGTTTGAATGATGCCTGCACTGCACCTGCAACAGCAGGTTTACCTGCTATATGGGCCCACTGCTCTCTTGGACAACACAGCAGTCTCAACCCCACTGGCCAGCAGGTCTTTCCCAGAGGACACAGTGTCCAATAACCAATTCACCTTATCAACTGGCTGCTTTTTCACAGATTCAGCTTGTATGATGGAAAGATGATGGAAAACTCAACTGGAAACCAAGAATAAAGCAATGTGCAGTGCAAGGAATTGAACCCAGAACTTCATGCATGCTACTCAGTTCTACCAACTGAACTACATCCTCCAAAATACAATTTTTGTATCGCCTGCCTAATAATGTTGGATCTCAACCAGGATGTACTACAGACACAAGAAATCAGTGAAAAACTGGGTGTTGTGGCTCATGCCTGCAATCCTGTTACAGGGGAGGCTGAGGCAGGAGGATTTTGATGAGTTCAAAGATAGCCTGGGCTATAGTGTGAGACCCTGTCTCAACACTCTCCCCCCAGTAAAACCCAGAAACTCAAAAAGTCTCCAATGTAGTAGTATTGTACCTTTGTTTTCTCTTGCCATGGGATGGGTTTGTTATCAAATGGAGCCAGATCTTGTAACATTCTCCTCAACCCAGTGATTAGTCCACATGGTGGGCATCTAACCAGACTGAGCCAAACATTTTCCTGAGATAGTTTTGGAGTTGAAAGTGATAGGGAGAGGGTTTGTCTTGTTTTGTTCTTTCCACCTTTGCTAAACTTTGCAACTGTCAGCAGCTCTGAGAGTCCTAGGCCAATGCAGTGAGGTGAGAAGGGAGAGAGCTGTCCCAGTGACGAGAGCTATCCCAGGGACATTTCATTCCCCAAATTCAGAAGAGCGCATCCTTTAGGTTTCTAGTAAATTACTTCCTGATCATCTTTTTTAAAAAAGACCTTTCTGTGGGTGTGCATACATGTACATGCATACATATGTACGATAGATAAGTAAATGTCAAAAACCAAAACAACAAATTTTGATTAATAAGTATGTATATGTATAAAAATAAAACTGCACATTTTTCAAATAATGCTTAATACTAAGAGGTACACTCTGATAGTGTCTTTGTGTTTTGTAGTGGTGCTAAATAGTTTCACAACCCTCATTGCAGTGTGAGTACAATTTGAAACTAAATAAGCAGAAGCAGACGAAGTTGGGGGAACGAGTGTGAAAGCAAATGTTTTTCACTTGTAATCCTCATCTCAAAGAAGGATACTTTTGGGGTTGGAGAGATGGCTCAGTGATGATGAGCACTGGCCACTCTTCCCGAGGACTTGGATTCAGTTTCCAGCACCCAATGGCAGCTAAAAACCATTTGTAACTCCAGTTCTAGAGAGCCTAGGGGATTCAACACCCTATTCTGGCCTCTGATGTCATTGCATGACATGAGTCTGGTTACATACGGGTAGGCAAAACACTCATAAAATTAGATCCAAAAAAGAAGGGCACCTTTGCAGGTGTCAAGGTGTTAGACCCTCCTCTGCTCATGCTCATGCACTCAGTCATCAGGTTTTTTGCCCATCTATCCCATTCTCAAAATGTCCTCCTCTCTCCTGGAAATGCTGTCTTCACTCAGGTACTCATTCATTTCTAGTCTAGATGAAGTCTCCACTGCCTGCTTCTCCGGTTCCCTTCTTAGTCCTATTTACAGCAAACTGGTGCCTTCAAATAAAACTTATTTGTCTGTCTAAATCTGGTTCAGTAGCTCCCTAAAGCCCATAAAATAAAGTTGAAAGTGTTTAGCATGGCACTCATCACCCCATGCCTTTTCATGGGGTTCAGCCTTTGCCCAGGTCTCCTTCACACTGCAGATGTCCTCAACTCGTACTTTTCCTTTCTCTGCAGATTCAGCCCGACAGATCTGCCACTTAGCCCTCAGCACCATTTCTCTCTACTTCTGTATAAGATAGCTGTAGTACTGCTCACCTACACACACACACACACACACACACACACACACGTACGCGCCTCTTCCTGCATAATGCCTTTCTTAAACAATTGCTCCTACTGTGGAAGACACTTTCATTGTAACATCAACAGGATCATTTAACTAGAGAAGCAGCAGCAAAATTTTGTTGTTTATATTCCTAACAGCTAGCAGAGAATAAATATGTGATTATTTCAAGCCAGCAAAAACCTACCATGCAGGGCTGGGGAGCTAGCTCAGAAGGTAAGAGCACTGGCTCTGAAAGCAAGAGGATCTGAGATCAGATCCCCAGCACCGCATAAAAGCTGGGCGTGGCTACTCAAATGCTTTTAACTCCAGCATTGGCGAGGAGAGATGGGTGGATCCCTGGAGCTCACTGGCCAGCCAACCTAGCCAAAACTGAGCTTCAGGGTCTGGAGAGATGGCTCAGGGGTTAAGAGCACTGAATGTTCTTGCAGAAGACCCAGGTTCAATTCCCAGCACCCACATGGCAGCCAACAACCATCTGTAACTCCAGTTCCAGGGGATCTGACACCCTCTTCTGACCTCTGTGGGCTCTGCACTCATAGGTGCACTTACGTACATGCCAAGTATAACTCATACACATAAAATAAATTTTAAAAATTAAAAAGAACAGCCGGGCATGGTGGCTCACGCCTTTAATCCCAGCACTCGGGAGGCAGAGGCAGGTGGATCTCTGTGAGTTCAAGGCCAGCCTGGTCCACATAGTGAGTTCCAGGACAGCTGGGGCTACAGGGAGACCCTGTCTCAAAAAGACCAAAAAAAAATTAAAAAAACACTGAGCTTCAGGGTTAGTGGGAGACCCTGCCTCAGAAAAAGCTGGAGAATGATCAAGGAAGATACCCAATGTACTCCTGGTCTGCACATGCATGTACCTGTGCACTTGCACACGTATGGACACACACACATAAGTGAAAAAGGTCGAGAGCAACAGAGGAACACACTTGAGGTCAACACCTGGCCTCCACACAGGTGAGCACACACCCTCATTCAAAATACACCACACACTACATCCCTACCCCAAATTGCATAAAGAGGTAAATTTTATTCTAGTGATTTATACATAAAAAAGATCATGCCATTGCATAATCTCCTCCATGAAATTGTTTGAAAGGACAGCTGAGGTGTATGTAGCTCAGTTGGTAGGATGTTCACCTACTATATGCATGAGCCCTAGGTTTGATCCATAGCACCACATAAACTGGGTGTAGTGGCACTAGGTGTAGTGGTAACTCCCCACCACTACACACTAAAAACTATTATTCCAAAGTAATGTCATATCATTGCTGAATTTGTCCAGTGATCCTACTTCTAACTGACCCTTACATCCTTGGCATTCCACAACAAGAGCCTCTCTTTTTTGGACTTTCCTATTTATTTAGATTTTCAGACAAGGTCTCACTCTGTACACCAGACTAGCGTGGAACTTACTATGTTTCCCAGGCCGGCCTTAAATGTGTGGTGATCCTCCTGTCTCAGCCTCTTCAGTTCTAGGATTACAGGTGTGGAACCACTGTACCTCACTCAGGACTTCCCTTTGTTTGCACACAGTACTAACAAAGTTCATGCTGTTGGAGACATGGTGGTTCCCTGAGAAAAGAATCCCAGTTCTGAGAGAGCTAAGTAAGGACACCAGTTTGTGACTAGTTAGGAGGACCGGGCTGGGGCAGCAAAGTCCTTAGACTGAATTTCCTGAGTGTGTTTGAGGAAAGAACAAGGATAATGGTCCAAGCCCACCATGTATAGCAAGTGGCTTAAGGTCAGTAGAGTAAGGTGACATTGGGGGCGGGGCTGGGAACACTTTTCTACAGGGAGGACTAGGAGAGAGGAGAGTTGACGAGTGAGACATCTGGGGTTTTGGCAATATGCACAACTGGGCCTTACCCTAGCCTCTGAATTCCTGTAAAGCAAAATTCTCAGGGGCTATCCTTGGAAAGAGTTGGTGCAGCCAGAATTAATAATTCTCTTTTTTAAATTTAATTTAATTTTATTATTTTTATTTTATGAGTGTTATGCTTGCACGTAGGTAAGTGCACCGTGCTGTGCAATGCCCATGGAGGTCAGAAGAGGCTGTTGGATCCCCTGGAACTGAAGTTACAGACAGTTGTTAGCTGCCATGTGGGTGCTGGGATTTGAACCCGGGTCTTCTGCAAGAACAACCACTGTTCTTAACTGCTGAGCCATCTCTCCAGCCCCTGATAATTCTCTTGATACGGTATAAAGAAAAGCCCAGGATCCTAGCACCTCTCTTTCTTATCCTCCCGTTCTTCCCAGATTAATGTCCAACAATAGCCAGAAGTAAGAGTCACACATTTGAACCAGAATTAGGCTGCAGATGACACACCACCTTTAGCTATATTCTTTTATTAAGCTATGTGCATAGGGGCTGGTGATAAGGAAGTTCTCATACCCACCACAGTGCCCCTGTCAAAGAGCAGGCTGGGGCTCAGCAGCTGTTGCAGTGACTAGGGTAGACACCCCAGTGCAGGCCAATAGCATCAATGACAGAACCAGATCGGCCGCTGATGAAACGGAGCACAGTGTTGGGGTGCAAGGGAACAGCATTGAAACTTGTGCCTGTGTCTTTTCCAAAAGGTAGGTAGCGGCCCTTGTCCGTCACAAAGATCAGCTGCTTCAGATAGCTCTTGTACTTGCCAGACACCTGGATCACTGACTCCCCAGGGTGCAGAAAGATCTCTTCCAGGTCTCCCAGTCTGCCACCCACATAGTCACTCCATACCGTGCCATAACGCACCTGGAGACTGGGGGTAGGGGCGAGGAGGGAAGAAGGAGACATGGTGAACAGGGTTATCAAGATTCAAGATCGACATGCTGAGATCTTCAAATGGTGACAAAAGATGACCGGTCCTATTCTAGTCCCTCAGGATACAAAGCTGGGTCAGTGAGCCCTAGAGAGAATTTCAGCTTCTCATTTTGCTGACAAACAGGCTCACAGAGGAAAAACAAGTTGCTCAGAGTCACTTGGACAGCGAGTGTCAAAGTTCACCCCCAACACAAACTTAAGTGAATGGATTTTCAAACTCCTGACTGCCTTCAGGCTAGACAGGGAAGAGACTGGCTAGCACTACCTCACAATTCAGAGCTTGGATCAGAAGGAAACACTTTTGTCTCTGTATGTCAAAGAAATTTCCAGCTGTAGGAAGGGCAGACACACAAAGACGAAGCACATCTGGCAGGCATATTGAAAGGAGGTTTAGACCTCAGATGAGACCCAACCCAAATAATTTAGGCCTCTGAGAGTTTATGACTTGCCGAGGCCGTGTGCACTGGGGGAGGTAGGAGTTACAATAGCTTAGATCTGGAATCTAAATCCTTCAATACCTCACCATACCAAATCTTGATTTAAACAGATGTGATCCAAAATAAATGAGAACATTCCAATTTAATAATATTCTAGACAGTCCCAAACCATAAAAACTTGAAGTTCTTACCCTACAATGAAGTATCTGTTGACTCGGACACGGAGGGCAGTGATTGGGCCGTCTAGCTGGTTGCCGGAATGAGAGAATCGCTTTCCTCCACCACCTCCGTATTCTCCACTGTAGGAGGAGGACCTGGCCTGAACTAGAGGGTAAGCAGGGCTTAGAGGGACAAATGCTCTGGGACGTCAGTTGGTTCCCACTACTCCCATTCTTCCATCCCAAGTCAGTGTCTAAAAGCCTTGACCAGCAGCAGTACAGGGCTGCCTTCCCGTGATCCCCACGATCCGGTTAGCAGGCTTGTGACATCATACTTACTGGCATTGGCAGAAGCTGAGGCACAAAGAAGGGCCAGGACAGCAAAGGCCAACATTCTGGGGCTGGAGCAGGAAAAAGGAGAAAAAGAAGGCTTACTCACTCCTCTGTGGACTGTATTTTCCCAGGCATCCCTGGCCTGCAGTTTCGACCCATGCTTTTTAAAAACAAAACGAAACAAACAAACAAAAAAACCCAGCATCTCACTCTGCAGCCCTGGCTGTCTTGGAACACTATGTAGCCCTGGCTGGCCTGAATCTCAGATCTGCCTGCCTCTGCCTCCAGAGTGCTGGGATCAGAGGCAAGCGCCACCACACCCAGCAGACCCATGCTTTTTTATCCTTCAATTCAGGGCTAGATGACCTGGCTTTGAGCTGAGTTAAGATCGTTGACTGACAGTTCTTCCATTTGCTGTTTTCGGAATTCTTAATCCCTCTGTTTCTTCCTGGTTGGCTGTAGCTAACCCTTCTCTCCCAACCCAAAAGATCAATCCTGACTTTCTATCTGGATTAAGCTGACTCAAGCTCCATTCGATTCAGGCACAAAATAAGAAAGTCTTCTGAAGAGGAACTAGAGGCCATCTGCAAAGGACAGAGATGGCTGAGTTTATCAAACCAAGAATCTGAGCAAAGCCCACCTGAAATCGGGTGGTAGCCTGCTTTATGAAGTGCCTGAGGTCTGATTAAATCTCTAGCCTCACTCTACTCTGAAATCAAGGAAAAGTGCATTTTGGAGGTGCCACTGTGTCACCCGGAGAGTGAAGGAGAGAGTAGAAATGATGATGCCAACAACAGAGTCCGGTCAGTTTTAGAGCGACTGGGATAGACTGAGAAGTTGCAGGAACTGGTAGCACAAGACAGTAGATTCCAGGCAACTAGTCTATCTGTCATGATCCTTTGTCCACAGCCAAGTGTGGCCATTTCCATGCCCGGAGATTCCCCAGTGCCCTCGTTCTTTTACCTGAAACTAGACATCTTTGCACCCAGAACCCTATTGGGTCCAGGTGCTGATGCTCAAGTGTCCTGTCATAATCCAGGCACCCTCTTTTTCAACTCAGATTTGAAAACCCTCCAACTCACCTTTCACCTGGCAGTTTCTGATGTAAAATAATTCCCTAGAAATTTCCAGATCTTTTATACCAGACCCAAGCCCTCCCACTGTTCTTTATTGTGTGAACCTCACCTCCTGAGTAAACATGACCAATGTCTTGGGATCAGATGTCAGGCAGGGTCTAGAACACCTTATCCTGCCTCTCCTCTAAGGGTTGCAGATGTCAAGGTGGGGTCCACTCAAGACAAAGTACCAAGTTTGAGGCTGGGCAAAATAAACTTGTTAAATGTCACCAACTGAAGGGTGGGCAAAGCAACTACTGTAATCTAAAGACATAACCTAGCCAGATATGGGGCTTCATGCCTGTAATTCCAACATTTGGAGGCTGAGGCAGGAGAAGCATGGGTTCAAGGCTAGCCTGAGCTACAGTATAAGACTCTATCTCAAAACACAAACAAGGGCTATACACACCTTTAATCCTAGCACTGGGAAGGCAGGAGCAGGATGGTCTCTGTGAGTTGGCGGCCAGTCTGGTCTCCATATTGAGTTCCAGACAGCCAGAGCTATATAGGAAGCCATGTCTAAAACAAACAAACAAACAAAATACCAAAACCAAACAAACAAAAAACCCCAAAATAAGCAAGCCGAAAGATTATGTGATCCAAGAGGCTGGGTGGAAAGTCTCCCCACCCCAAATGGTCTGTAGGTGCTCTTGTCTGAGCTCTGCCCTCCATAAGCACTGTCCTCTTCAGTCATTTCTAACAAATACTTCTAGAATGGGAGCACACTACCTCTGCTAAGAAGTGCCTATTACTTGCTTGACAATTTTTTCTCTGTTTGCTGGCATTTTATCATGAAAATCCAAACATAAGGTTTAAAGAGCCAGGCATGGTGGTGCATGTCTTTAATGATCCTAGCACTCAGGAGGCAGAGGCAGGCAGATCTCTATGCCTTTGATAGACTTTGACTATTTACATAGTAATTTTCAGGCCAGCCAGGGCTGCACAGTGAGATGTCTCAAAAAAAAAAAAAAAGTAAAAGCAAAGTTTACAGAATTGTGTAGTGAACACCTGCATCACAGATTCTACTGTGAGGCTTTAGATGGACACTAAATCTTGTCTTTTTTTTTTTTGTCAGAGCTGAGGACCAAACCCAGGGCCTTGTGCTTGCTAGGCAAGTGCTCTACCATTGAGCTAAATCCCCCACCCCTAGGACACTAAATCTCTAGGTTCCTCATCCCTCTTCCAGAAACAACCATTCCAATGGACAAGTGGGTAGCTGAGACATGGAGTGTTCACGAGTCCTCCTCTGTGAGTAGTTCTGATTTCCTGCCCTAGGGACATCTAGGTAACATAGTTTCGGACCACCAGCTAAAACTGCCCCTTCCCCTAGGTCTGAAACATCCTCAGAATGATGCCATAGATTTCTTATCTCTTTATGCCCTTTTCTTCCTGGCCTGGTTCCTCTTGATCTAAAGTCCCTAGAACTGACCCTTGAGTCCTACCATATGACCCAGTTGGACTAGCCCTATCTCTTTGAGTAGGTAAGACCTTCCCAGTGGAGGGGCTGGAGTCTAGGGAGGGGCTGGAATGAGCAGTATCAGCCCTTAATGACAGGCAGACATTCAGAGTGTCCACCCCTTCTCTTGTGGGCTTACCATCTGGGGCTGAAATCTCATCCCAGATAGCAAAACAGTCCTGCCTTGAGGAGTAGGAAATAGGGGAGGCTCCTGGGTGACAGATCCAGAGAGTAGAACCAGACAGCAGCCAAGGACACCTCTATTTCACTTCTTCCTTCTCCAAGTTCAAGATAAGCATATCCTGGTGACATAACTTTGGCTCCGTTCCTGTCGTTTTGTTTTATTGTGACCTTTGTGCTCTGCCTTTCTTTCCCAGTTCTCTTTCTCCTTGTGTCTTTCTCTTTCCCCACATTTCCTGTTCTGAGTCTTTCCTTTATATTCCTCTCTTCCTGCTCTCCTCCTTCTTACCTCCATGTTTCTCCCAAGCCCTCCTTCTAGCTTCTTCTCACTACCATCCATCTCTTGTTTCTGTTCTCAGGGGCACATCATGCAGTTTGCCAAACCCTGGCAGTTCAGGTGGCAGTGCAGAGAGGTCTAAAGCTAATACCCTGGGAGAATGTCCTTGTATTGCCAGACATGATACATCCAGAACCTTCAGGACAGAAGCACCCTGAGCTTGTCACAGCTTCATTCTGCTGCTCCTATTTTTCCTGTGTAAAGTCCAGAGTCTCCTCCTTTGCCTGGTCCTTGGGTCCCCTACAGCAAGTCTTCCCTTCCAAGTGTAAGAGATTGTTCTGGTAGGAAGAATCTCAAAGTTCCTCCTCTGTCCATCCAAAGACAAAGAAAGTCACGGTACAGCTCTCGTGGAAAATTCTGTTTCATCTGTTGTAAGTGGGTAAAGGCAGTGTGACTCCAGGCATCTACCACATCAGCTCCTGTTGCTCTGCTTTGCCTTTTACCCATGTGCCAGATGGGGGTCTAGATGATGTTAAAAACCCTACCCCACCCCTAGTTCTACAGGCATCAAATGTCCAGTGCCCTTCCAAAGTTTTCTGCTACTGCAGGGCTATTGACGTTTCTCCATCTTCTCTGTCCCTTGGCTAAGAGACTCACTCAACCCATTTGATCTCCAGTTGGAGGCCCCATTTGCTAGAGAGGTAGCAAGAGAACCAGCAGCGTACCTTAAGGAGGTAGAATCCTACTCCAAGGAGAGGAATCAAGAAAATTGGTAAGTTCCTGTAAAGTGTGTTTAAGCAATGCAGGCTATCGAATAACATGGACTGAGAGTGGAGTGGCAGCTCTTAAAGCTGGGAGTTTTTTCTCCTCAGACAGCAATTGGGAAGAAACCAGATTGAAGTGGTGAAGAGAAAAATAGAAGTTTGTGTGAAGATTGGTCCAGGCGGAAGTGTTAAAGCCTTGGGCAGTGTGTGAATTTGGAAGAACATGGAGGGTAGGGGGTTAGGTGGGAAGCAAGGGAAGCCAGCAGGAGGCAGGGGTTTAGCAGCAGCTAGTGGCAGATGGTGGCACAGCCTGGAGGTCAGGGTTAGGAGTTAGGCTGAGAGGGGAGTTCTGGGAGAGTTCTGAGCAGGGTGGTACTTGTCATAGTTGCATGTGTGAAGGGTTCCTCTCTGGATGTTGATCTAGTGGAGAATGGAATGGGCATATGGTGAAAGAAAATGCAGGCATAACCCAAGTGTCATGAGCCAAGACCCATTTCACTGAGTCCCTCTCTCCTCCCCTCTTGAATTGCCATGGAAACTACTGCCTTTCCCTGGGAAGCAGCTTTGCCCTCCCGGTGCAAATTCAGACCTCATGGTAGGGATCTGTCTCCTCACCCTATCAAAAGTCAAAATAGGGGCTGAAGAGATGGCTCAGTGGCTAAGAACACTGGTTGTTCTTGCAGAAGACCGGGGTTCAAATCCCAGCACCCACATGGCAGCCATCAGGAGTCCATAACTCCAGTCCCAGGGGATCCGGCAGCCTCTTCTGAGCTCCGCAGACATTGCATGACACGGGTACACTTACCTACATGCAGGGAATACATGCATACACGTAAAATAAAAATAATAAAAAAATTTTCAAGTCAAAATAACAAGTTTAGTTTTAAAATATTGTTTTTTTCTTTGCAATTCTAGGATCTGGCAACACTTCATTCCATCAGATATGGAGAATATTCCAAAGAGCAGCTCCTCCTTGTCCTCTTCTTCCTGTTCCTTCTCCTCCTTTTCCTTCTCCTCTTCTTCCTCTTTCTTTTTTTATTTTGGTCTTTTTGAGAGAGGGTCTCATGGAGCCCAGATTGGTCTAGAATTCAAAAGAATACATGGCTTGAATTTCTGATATCCCTACTTCTAATTCCCAAGTGTTGGGATTACAAGTGTGTGCCACCATGTCCAGCTTCTTTGGGGTCTTGTCCATGATCCTTTCAAGTATGCTGCTGTTTTCTTTGACTGCTATTTAAGTGATCAGCCTTACTTTTATTTTTGCTTTCCAGAGACCTACCTAGTATATAATGAGTGCC